CTGCAACTGAAAATATGGATGGAGGACCTCAGTTTAGCTTGTCGCGCTAGCGCTGAGCTAATACGTGTAAGGCAATATAGTGTCAGTGCTAGCACAAAGGCTAACAGGCTAAGATGAGGTTCTTATTCCATGAAGCAGCTCTGAACATCATGGAAAATTAAAAAAAAAAAAAGAAATTAACAGTTTGAAAAATATGACCCAAACAGAATATAAATATATCTATGCAGCACCTGGAGAAACTAAATTAAACTTTTCTGCACTCCTAGAGACTAAGGACACAACAAAATGCATTTAATGGCTAAAAAAGTGGATTAGTATATGCCTCCTTTAGGTGATCTTAGATACATAAAATGATCTCAAAGCACTAAAACTGAACTGAAAYCTGTTTCTAAAGGTTTTACCCAGACTTACTGTTGGACCTGGTGGCTGCAGTTTGCACTAGTAAAGCTGACGATGAGCTGCAGTTTTTCGGTGGCGTAATCAACGAACTGGCGCTTCAGAGCACGCTCCTTTGCTTTTGTGGTCCAGGTGAGTCTCTCGTACAGGTACAACAGGCCATAAAGAGAGGCTGACAGGACAACGAGCCTCCAGCCGACTGTTTTCCACACCTCAGGATGAAAAGAAAAAAATGAAGCAGAACGTAAACTTTGAGGGTTTTCTGTACTGGATAAAGTGATCCTAATAAGGGTTTTAGTGCAAAAGGAGTTTTAATGGGACATCAGCTCAATCAACCCACAGCTCGAGTTCATTTTTTTATCTTTACTTTTGGGAGTTTACACAAAAATCAACTCCTCCTGACATTGCAGCTGCTCAGTAAAGTCAAATATTAATCGGTTTAAGAAATTAAAGACACACACACACACACACACACACACACACACACACAAATGTATTTTAAAGCTTAAAGCGGTCGTACAAGTTAAACCTTGGACAACCGTGTTGCTGCAGGTTCAAACGTACCACTCCTCCAACAATAACAACGGTCATTGAAGCGCGGGAAGTGAGGGATGCCACGTTGGTTGCCATGGCTACCATCAGATCTTCCTGGGTCATGAGGGCTCCCTCGTTGTAGGGCGGAGCTGCGCTGGACGGGGGTCCGGATGATGGCGTTCGAGCCAGAGGCAACGCCGCTTGTGAAGTCTGCAGTGACGAGAAACTTGTCTGTTTACATTCAATAAACCGATGAGCTCTGATCTTTACAAAATCAAAAAAAAAAAAGGCATGAAAATCCTTTAGTCCAGAGATTCTTAACCCGTGGAATTGGGCCGCAAGCGCCACCTTGAGGGCCTCAAAAGAACAACAGTTTTTAATTTTGGGCCGCAGAGCAAGTACACTTCGCTGCAGCATGCAGAACGGGGCGGTGACAAACCTTTCTGTCAGTCCCATACCTTATATGGAAATGGGACTATTGCATTCCGGAAATGAAGGGGGCGCTAGTGACACTATTTTCTATCGAACACTATCAACATTAACAATACAAATTTTACAGTAAGGAATTTCTTATCTTTATTTGCACCATCCTTTTTCTCTTTTATGCAAGTTTGTTTGTTTGTTTGTTTGTTTGT